AATGATATTCCAGGTTCCTTTTCCTGCTGTGGCAACTAAGGTGACCATGTGTTCCAATGGTACGGCTACAAGATGGGGGGGGTCTAAGCCTGGGGCCCCAAGTGACTGCAGAGCAGAGTCTCCTGCCAACCGACATGGGACACGTAGCATGAGCCAGAAATAAATGTTTGTCCTGCTAAGACACTGAAATATTTGTTACTAGAGCATCATCTAGTCCACCTAGTATCCTGACTAACGAGAGAACCCAGTTAAAGAAACTGAGAAGATAGCAAGGAAGAGAAAACCATGTGTTCAAGAAAATCAAAGAAGCAGTGGGGAATTTGTCACTAATAGAACAGGAAAAAGTCACTAAAATTTTTACCCTCGTTGATAATCATTCTATCAACCCTTTGTTCTTTAACACAGCTTCGCTCTGCTCAATAATTTCCTTGGATCGAAAAAGTACATGCAAAAACGCCTCACTGCAAAAGTATAAACCTGAAATGTGAAAAACAAATGCATATTACCATCAGACCAAAATATTTACATGATGTAAAAACAATGAATAAATAAAGCATTAGAAGAATCCCATTGAACTAAGCAAATGGAATCCAATAGAACAGCTGTTAATATTATCTTCCTCCATAAAGAGAAACCTTGATGACTCATTGAGAGCTTCATAAATTGTATCTTTTCCCTGGTTGGTTTAAATTGGGTTTTTCATCTAGTATGTTATTTGGTATATATTGCTGACTTCATGCGCGTAACAACATAAGATCCTATCCGTCCACTGTGCCTCCTACACTGGAAACTCAGTGTCCACCCAAGTACCATGCACCGCATCCAGGCAAATTCACTCCAATTCGGCTGAAGAAATGCAAACAGATTAATGGTAATCTGCCTCCTCCTATTTATTTCTTCATAAACCCAATTCCAGGATAGCACACTTTTAATATATGTAAAAATTTTATATTATATTAATTATATTATATTAATTTATATTACATTAATTATATGTTTTTTAATATATATATTCTGTAATATGCATTACAGAAGAATCCTACATGATTCTTAAGAAATAAAGCATCACCAAAACAATTTAAAGCCTTTGTGTATTCCCCTGAAATTGCATCCTTCTCCTTTTGCGCACCTGACCCCACTGTCCCGATGACAATTCAGAACACCTCTGGCCTTAGTCTCCAGCACTGTAAGCATTGCGCTGGACCCCTCGAGTGAGCAGTCCTGGCTCAGACTTGTCAAGGAGCTTAACTGAGAGAGCCCTTCTCCTACTTGCAGATCTAGGATACTTCCACCACGCAGGCAAGCGCCCTGTGAAGAAGAAAGGCAGGATTTGTCCACTGTCCTTCCCTTTACAACACAGGGGATATTGTGAAGGGTAGAGATCAGTAATACTTCTGAGCGCCTTAGTCTGAAATTAGCAAAAAAAAAAAAAAAGGAGAAAAGAAAGACACTTGTGGCAGGTTCACCACACCCTCCTTACTAAAACCACTAAAAATTTTCAATCATCAAAGGATATATTATGTAGTTTAGAGCATGCAGATGGGCACTATGAGAAAACACGGCTCCCTGACACAAAACCATGAGAAATGGTTACTACCTCTTCGTTTTCGGGAGAAATGAATTTTCACCAGGAACAGAGAAGCTGAAGACAATACTAATAAGTGGAAGCTGAGATGTTAAAGGGCTCAACCTGATGCTTCCACATACAGATCTTTAAAACCAAGTTCAAGCCCTTCATTTTAACCATGTATTGGCAAAGTAAGAACAGGATTCTTAGAGAAGGCTTTAACCAGATTAATGCAAACAGAATTATACCACTCCCAATCTCCTATGTTTTCTTGGAAATGTGTGTAATAATCTAGTCAAAATTAGTGAAATCAAGAGAATTTCTTATATTTTGATACTGATGCAACCATATTGGGAAAAAAATTGGTATCACCTAGTCAATTTGAGCTTGCATATATAAGCCAGTAATTCTACACACAGGTATATACGTTGGTATATAACCTAAATACATACCCATAACTTTTCACAGCTATGAGGTATGTGACAGAAATGTTCATGGAAGTATTGTCCATGAGAAGAAAACCTGAAATCACTGAAGTCTACAAACAGGAAACTGGATAATTTTGGAATATTCTTACTTGGATTACAATATACATAAATGAATAAACCACAGGTATACATATCAACATGGATGAATCTCATAAATAAACCCAAAAAGGGGCAGGTTACAATTCTGGCAAAATCAAACAATGCATTGCTTAAGTTTATATACAATCACATAGAATAAAACTCTAAAGAAAAGAGAATGATTCACAAAGGACTCATTATAATGGCAACTTAGGGAATGAGGAAAGAGAAGGATGTGATTTGGGAGGGGCAAGTAATAGGCTTCAAAAGACTAGTAATTTTCTATTAGTTGGGTAGTGGATTAGTTGGGTAGTGGGTTAGTTGGGTAGTGGATTAGTTGGGTAGTAGATAAATGGGTTATTAGTCCTTGAAGCACATATCGTACACATACTCCTTTGTATATAAAATAAATTTCACATAATTATTAAATTTAGTGTACATAAGAATTCCTGTTTAAAACATATTCTCACAGGCCTAACTCTCAGGGAATCTGTTTTAGTATGTTTAGGGAGCAAAGGGATACCTCAGGTTCAGCTTTTTAAAAATAAACATCCCAGGTATAACTGGAAGGGGTCCATGAGGTGTATGTGCCACCCTGTGAGAAATACAAGATTATTTTTCCTAAGTTTTCAATTTTTTTAAGTTTATTTATTTTGAGAGAGAGAGAGAGAGAGAGAGAATCCCAAGCAGGCTCCTTGCTGTCAGTGCAGAGCACGATACAGGGCTCAATCCCACGAACCAGGAGACCATGACCTGAGCCAAAATCTAGAGTCAGATGCTTAACCGACTAAGGCATCCAAGCGCCCCCTAAGTTATCAAGTTTTTATTTTTAACGTTTTTTTATTTTTGAGAAACAGAGAAACAGTGCAGGGGAGGGGCAGAGAGAGAGGCAGACACAGAATCCAAAGCAGCCTCCAGGCTCCTAACTGTCAGCACGGAACCTGATGCAGGGCTCGAACTCACAAATCGACTGAGCCACCCAGGCATCCCCTAAGTTGTCAAGTTTTATGCCGAAGTTTACAGACTTTCTTTTTCAAGTGAAATCTTATTTGAAACAAAAACAACCCCAAAAACACAATTTGTAAAAAGGATCAAAACAGAGAAGTTCTGGTTAGAGTTGGGTGGGCGGCCCCAAGTCTGGTTTATTGGGCATTCCTTGCCCCCATTACAACTGTAGCCTTGGAGGAAGCTCTAGAAGTCCAGAGCTTCATGACCAAGGGCAGAGAGGCCCCCACTATCAATCCCTTTCAGTATATTTCAAAATAAAAGAAGGAAGTATTCAAGCTTGGCAGTGAGACTTAAAGGCAAGGTGGAAAACAGACCTTGGGAGTATTTTAACTCGAATTTATAAAATGTGTATGTTCGTTTGGCTTGATTATACACCAACAACTCACACAATTTGCATATGTGAAGGCACATAGTAGGTATGCTGTACCGTTCAAGTGACTCAGTATCCGATTCATTCTAGAACTTTGGATAAAACAGGATTGAAAGCAAGAGGCTTGTTATTCTGTGATTCTAACTTTCGGGTGTAATCTACAACGTAGTACTAGCCACGACTTCTTCCACTGGAATGCTTCCAAGCAACAAAAGTAATGGATTTGTTAAGTTACCCACAGCAAACCACAGCACCCCGAACACCTGCTGAAAGAAAGAATTTCCTAGTTACAAATGTAGTTTGAACATGCTGTCTAGAGCAGATCTACTCTGCATGAAACATGTAGCCAAAGTGAGAAAGGAATGGAATGGAATATTCAAATAGGAAAAAAGTAGGTGGGTGGCTCCATACTGGTGTAAATGGAACATCATGTAGGGAAATGTGTTCTTTCTTTCTGAATTTAAATTTTATACACAAATTGTATAATTAATATTTGGCCATAAGCAAAACTTCATGAAGTGGCTTTAAGAACAATTTGCTGAATTGCTGCCACATACAAAGCCCCTCCCCACCAAATACTGGTTAAGACTTATACCATCTATAATGGCAAAAAGAACACAGAAGTTAGTGTTCTGGGTGAAAACCTTTCTTATAAGCCCATTGGTTTCTGTTGATTCTCTTGGCCTTCATTCAAGAGAAGCTGGCATGGGCTGTTGCTTAGCAACAGTATGCAGTGCACTTTTCTACCAGCCCATGAAAACGCTGTCTCTGGACCTCATGCCATTTAGCACCATGGTTTCGTAAATGATGACAATCTCTTAGGAACTTTTCTTTCCTCCCTTCAAATGAGTGCCTGAGGAAGACTATTTTAATACCCATTCCTTCATCCTAAACATTGCATTTGGCTTAACAAAGACCAAAAAATAAGAAGGTACATCCTTTGGCAGCTCCCCGATTCTCTGACCACTGACAGAGAAACCAGTAGCAACACATATCTTATTGAGAATTGCAATATATTTTCTTTGAATTAGCTATGACTGTTTAATACCATCCATACTACTACTTAATTAATGCCTTCTATGTGTTTAGGATATCATATCTCAACAACACAGACCCTGCCCCTATTCTCATGGAACTTACCTGCCTATTCTTGAATCTCCCTACAGGCTAAATGTTCACCCACAACACATTCCAAACCCTTGTGTATTCCAGCTAAAAAGGAGGTCCTACTTTTTAAAATGAAGAAATATTTTCAAGCCTAATTTACATAAAACCCTAGCTGGTCAGGGCCAGCTGAATCCATGTTAGGAACTCCAGAAACACCAAGTCAGTAGACAGGAACCCTAGCTGTGTGAGGACCCATGCCCCACAGAAATGGTAACAGGACCTTTGAGACTCATAGTCATGTCACATGATTGAGATTCTTAAATCAAAAACAGTGGGTGAAGGTTCAAAGAAAGTATCTCTGAAAGGCCAAAAACTAACTTACCAATGGTTAGGAGAGCATCAAAGGATCCATGTCCATCCTGGATCCTAGCATACAGGTTCAAGGTCACCTAGAAAATGTAACAGGAGCTTCATTAAAAACATCCTCTAAGCCATTCAGTGAGAAATATTCTAAAATCCTTAACAGAGAGGACCAAGAGAGCATGAGAACTCTTTGGGAATCCAAAAGAAATCTGGCTATGTACCTCTTCTTTAAAGACTCATAGCACTTAGGAAGAAAATTCCTCCAATTTGAGGAAGAGCAGAACAAAGCTACCGGCAAATGGTTGGGAGTAGAAAATAAAAACAATATTAAAGAGCCACGGTTATTCAGCAGAGCATGAGTCACTAAGGCTTGTAGCAAAGGGACAGGGCCACAGGGTAGGTAGAAACGTATTAGGCCAAATATCAGTGATTGTTACAGAAGTTTGTATGACATGATTTTCACCGCAAATATATAAAAAGATATTGAGAAAATAGTATGGCCCTCAAGTTGATTTAAATATGAACCAATCACTATTCAAACTTGTCACAACGTAAACCTAAATCCAAAGAACCTACCTGTTCATGAAAGACTGGAAGGCATCCTTAGGTTTACAGCCCTTTGACTGTGTCAGACAAGAAATAGATGAAGTACTTTTTTAGTTTCAGGAAAGAGGAGGGGAGAGGAAAGGAGGGGAGGGGAGGGGAGGGGAGGAGAGGAGAGGAGAGGAA